GGAAAGGGGGGGGGGGGGGGGAGGGAATTGCCGCGGCGGCTACATACATATCACATGATAACAAGACCTTCCTAAGAGGAAGAAGGGGAGGGCCTTTTTACAATCCTCATTCACAGAGCTTTAGAACAATAGTTTAAGGTAAAGGAGACAGCCAAACACTTGAGTCAGCCCCCCCCCACCCGCCCACCCCCATGTGACCAAGGAGATGAAGATCAAAGAAGGCCCCAAGGGCCATGAACATAGGAGAGGTGTGACATTATGAAGCCAGAAGGAGAAGTAGGATTCTAGAGAAGGAGGTGCTAAGGTCAGCTGGGCCCATGTGAGTAGGAGGTGCCAGTATCAGAGGTGAGTTATTCCTACTGTAGGCAGTTGGAGATGTGAGTCCGAGAAGGGCGGGGGGGAACCTCAGCAAAGAAGCCAGGCTAGGCTGGCTGCAGCCCTGGGAGACCTGGGGGAGACATCTGCTTAGATGGACAGTGGAAGTGGGGAATGGAAGAAAATGCCTAAGGGAAAGAACAGTGTAGACCTGAGGACTAGTAGAACCTTAAGAGGGGGAGGGAAAAGAGGAAGAAGAGGAACCGGGAAGGGAGACAGAGAAACAGCATCTGGGGAAGTGGGAATATAGGAAGACCATGGGCCCTGTCTGGAGCAAGGTCCACAGTGTCTGTCACAGGCTGTGAGGTCACTGGTAACAGTGGAGAATGCTTGGGGTGGGGGGAGTGGAGGGGGGAAGATGAAGCCAGATTTCCAAGGCTTGAGAGAAGGAATAGGGAAACAGAAGCATCAGATGTGGTCCACATTCACAAGAAACTTGGCAAGGAAAAAGAGTCAAGAGCTAGGGCCTTAGCTGGATGGCCAGGCCCGAGTGATTTTTGGTGGCCCTCTGCCCTGGTCTGGGGCTCGGAGTCTCTTGGCAGCAAGGGTCACAGTCCACCACCAGCTGTGACAGCTCCAGAGAACATTCACCTCAGTCCTTGAGGCCCTGTCCATTCCTCAGGGTGCGAGCTCCCTGGTCCTCCGAAGGCTGAAAGTTTCAAAGAAGGCGCTGATCAAACAGCCTAGACTCCAGCCTCCGAGATGCTGACTGCAGGCTCAGTGTGGGCCCTCCTGAGTCCAGGTGCTGACCAGCTAAGATTTTTGGCAAAGGACTAGTTAGCCCAACATACAGGGCCCACTAGTAGGCTCAGACTTGTCAGCAGGAGATCTGGATTGGAATGCTGTTTGTTCAGAGACTGCCAAATTGTCTGGATAGCCTGGACAAATCTCACACCACCTCTCAAAGCCTCAGTTTCCTCATCTGTAAAAGGCATACAGTAAGTAATTCTTACAATACCTATCTCCTAGGATGAGGAAAACACTCTTAAGTCATATTTAGCTTGTAGGACAGACCACCTAACTGTCTGCTGCTGTCACTTGCTAGGGATTACCAGCTCTCCTGCCAGGAGAATTGGAAATGGAGATCCAGAAAAGGAGTTGCCCACAACTCCTGTGGCCAGAAGGGTTTAAACCCTGTGGGCCACTACTGGCCACCTTGGCCAACCCTGCTCTAGTTTTCAAAACTAAGCTGGGCAAAAAGTGGAGTTTACATGAGCCCAGCCACCTGGGGGGGTGGGGGCTTACGTAACTCCTATAGTGTTGTGATGGCATCTGCTATCTCCTGCCCCCCAGGGAAAAGGCTCCTTCTTTGGAGAATGACAACATAGGTGAGGGTAAGCCCAGGGCTTTGTGGTGAGAAGACACTTTACAGACTGTAGTAAAGACAGCCCAGAGTGCCGGCTCCGTGTGGGGCTCTGTTCTGGGAACTTCGGAAGGGCATGGATGGGTAAGCTGGAGGTTGGCTAAGACAGTGCCCTAGAGCTGCAGTCATTGTCAGATGATGATTCACCCAAGGAACTGGAGAAGAGGAAGCTCTCGGGGACATAACCGGCTTCAAGTATTTCAAGGACTGTCACCTGGAGGAGGGGCTGATCTTGTTCTCCTCGCCCCAAAGCTGAGGGCAGAACTAGGAGCCATGAGCTACTATTTTTTCCTGCAAACAAGGTTTTTAAAGCTATGCCACTGTCAGGTATTTCCCAGTGAGGTAGGTTAGAGCAAGTAACTGTGTTATTCCCATTGGAAAACCAGATCTTCAATTCCTGCCATATGGGGCTAGACACACAGTGTGAAATTGGAAGCTCCCCTTCCTTGCCGCAATAATAGTCACCTGAGGGATTAGAGGAGAGTGGGCAAATCTCAAAACTTGTTCTATTTGGTCCCAGAAAGCAGAACTGGGGGTTGGGGGTAGGTAGGGACAGAGCTGCAGGGAGGCTGACCAAGAGCTGTCCCAAGGACATTAGAAGGCCTCAAGCAAAGTCTGGCTGGCCACTGAATGGCTCTGGTGCCTTGAGGATTTGTTTTTAGGTGGGAGGGGGGCTGAATGGCTGCCAAAGTCCCTGCCAGCTCTGAAATGCTGGGATTTCCACAAAGGGCTTGGCCTACGTTATCTCATTCGAGTCTCCCAACTGCCCAATGAGGTAGGCGGCACAAGTGTCCCCATCATCATTGTCATTTTACCAGTAAGGAGTGAGTGGACTTGGCCAGGGTCACACAACTAGCAAGTAGCAGAATCAGAATTCAAAGCCCAATCTTCCCTTCCACAAATGATCCACATTGCCCCCTCCTCCAGTTCTTTTCTTGCGCACTCATTCTTTCTCCATTCCTATCTCATCCTCCGGCCTTCTCTCGTGTTGTATACAGCCATGATTAATTACATGGCTGCTTTAGCCTGCAATCCCATTGAGAGCTCCATAGCACCAGGCATGGTGCGCTAGGTGCTCTCTCAATTACCCCCCAGCCCCAGTGGTGCCCTTCTCTAGGGCCTCTGACCTTGGCATCCTCTTAGGATCTGTCCTCCTCCCTTCTGCCCCAACCTTTCATTTTCAGTCAGTTACCAAGTCCTATCTAGTCTGCCCCCACAAAATGTCTGTTTCCCCCAGCAGGAACCTCCAGGACTGGCATCAGCCTCGTCCTGGGGCTTTCCAGTTTGGCCCACCCGCCCCCACCCCCTCCAGCCCATCCTTAATGCCTCCATCCCAATCATCAACTCTCCTGCCATGGCCTGGTCATGGTGGCTCATCTACCTGAATGTCCACACTCCAGATCAAAGTTAGGGAAGATGCCAGTTAAGTGAAAACACAGTCCTTGCCCACATATAGCTTATAGAAGATGCCCTATTGCATGAATGGACAGCAGAGAAGTTTGTGGAGAACCCAGAGTCACTTCCTTCATGATGACGCAGCACAGGAGGAAGGGGGGAGGGCAGAAAATGCATGTCAGGCACTGCTAAGTGCTTTATCTCTTGGATGTTCTGTATACTGCAGGCATTTAATGACTATGGTTAGCTGGAATTAAGGGATTCCCCTGGTCATAGGCCATGCTTTTTTTTTCCCTTTGGGAAATTTCCCAAAATGAGGCAGTAGAAGATTGGGGGGGGGGTAGAGCAGGGTTTGGAGCCTGTCCCACTTCAGTCACTCCTTACCTGTGACTTAGGCAAGTCACTTCCTTTCATGACTTCATCTGTAAAATGGGGCTCCTGATACCTGTGTCCCCTTCTTTCACAAGACTGTTGTGAGGTTCAAATGAGAGTGATGACATGTGGCACTTTGGAACTCTAAGGAGCTGTGTGCCAGGGCACCTGGACAAAGAGAGAAGGAGGAAGCAGCCACTGCCCTCGGGGAGCTCACAGTCTGGACTGCCCCTGCCCACAGCTGGCCTCCCTCGGATCCTTAGCTCCTGGCTCTGCTTTCTTAGGACGTAGGCCCACCATTGATCTGGAGCTCAAAGGGATCTTGGAGGTCACTCAGTTCAATCCTATCATTTTAGAGAGGAGGAAACTGAGGCCCAGAGAGGAAGGAACTTGAGCCCAGTCTCCCAGGCGGGTCTGATGGCTCTGCCAGGCTGCCTACTCACATCTCCCCAGCTGGGCCATCGGCCCCTTGAGAGAAGCAAGAAGAAGGAAGGACTTGGAGCTATGAGGCCTGCCTCAGTTCTCTCTGCCTCCTTCTGGCCAGAGTTTCCTTCTCTGAGCCTCTGAGGGCTTTGGATGAGGTGATCTGTTGTCCCCTCCAGCTCAAAGGGTCTATGAAGGTATTTAGAGTTTCAAGCGCTATGTAAATGAATTCGAGGTGAGACAATCCCAAGGCTTTCTTCCTCTGCATAACACCAAGTGCTATGAAACATAGGGACATAGATGGAAGGGACCTGAGAGGTCTAACCCCACCCCCCCACATACACACACACTACCATTTTACAGATGGGCAAACCGAGACCCAGAGAGGTAAGTGACTTGTTACTAAGATTACACAAGCAGTAAGTGATAAAAGTGAGATTTGACCCCAGGTCCTCCAGACGCACTGCACCACTGGCTGTCACTTGAGCCGATGTTCCCACTTGTTACTGTGAGCCTGGCACCAGCACTGGAGGAAGGAGTGTGGCTCCCAGAGAAGAGGCGTAGAGGCTCTAACCCACGATAGCATAGACAAACCGGTGTGCGTGTCGGAGGAGGGGTGAAGTGAGACAAGGAGGCCTGGGGCTGGGTATTGCTCAATGCAGGAAGCTAGACTTCCTAAAGGGAAAAACATCTGGGTAGCTGCCAGGATGAACGCCCAAAGCCAGGCCGGGGAACAAGCAGGCTGAAAAGGCATTTAGCATGGGGGGGG